CTTGCAGTCTTCAAAGGCAAAGACGACTTTTATACAATGAAATGGAGAAAGAATAGTGTAACATCTTTGAGGGTAAATGGGTGTATGATCCTAAGGCAAGCCCTTTATATGATGCAGCAAGCTGTCCATTTCTAAATGACCAAGTGAGTTGCTAAAGGAATAGAAGGCCAGATTGTGAATATTAGAAATGGAGGTGGGAACCTAAAGGTTACTAGACTCCAAGGTAATTAAGACTTAATTTTGACTTTGAGAACTATCTTTCATGTTCTTTCTTTGACAAATTTCATTTTGTCCATTCAATGTAGGAAAGAAAATGTTGAAGAGAATTAAGGGAAGAGAGTGATAATTGTGGGGGACTTAATCAACAGAAACCAATATAGGAGTCTCTCGCCTACCTTCTTTATTCTTCCACATCTCCCAAAAAGCTCATGTTTAGGCGGGAAGAACTGACTACAAGGTCTTCAAACTGAAGGTAAAATTAGCCTAAAACAAAGCATTCAAACTTGAACTTTTAAAAAGTCAAAATCATATCATAATTTCCATTAGTTGATGATTAACAAGGAGATAACTTCTCTTGTTTGTAGGTCTATAATTGCTCGGATCAGTTTTACTGGAGTCCTTTGTTGTGCAATTGGAAACAAATCAAGCAAAGACAAGTAAAAGAATATTAAGACTTAACCAAATTTCTTTCTTTGCCAGGAATTGGCACAGCAAGGATATTAGAGCATGAACTCTTTAACAATTGCATTTGTTAGCTTAACAAGTCAAATATTGCCTCTTCATTAATTGCAAGATAATTCTTCGTTGGTTACCCATCTATTGAGTATGGGCAATATTGCCTCTCCATAAACCACTTAATGTTGCTTCTTCATCTACCACTTTCATTCATCATTTATTTTTATCATTTTTAATTTTTTCACCTCATGTACTTTTTTTTTTTTGGATTGAATTTATTAAATGTATACGTTAATTAATGCATAAAGTAGTATTTTATATAATATGTAGATAGATATAGATATAGGTAAAGATTAATATTTTCATAGATTTATGATGTAGTGTGTTTATTATTTTACTTGGTTGTAATATTAATTGTAAGGAAATTGATTAGTACATTGGTTCAATATACTCCACAACATACTCATTAAAAAATTATCATTTTTAAATTTAAATTAAAGGTGGGAAAACTTAATTTCAATAGTTGAACCGATGAGTGTTAACTAATATATTAAAGTGAATGATATACTAATTATTTTCCTAATTGTAAAGATGGAAAGGCTTTAAACAAAAATTGTTGTACTAAGATAAAATATTTTTCCCTTGAGAAATAACAATTAAATAAGTTGTTTATTTTAATAGGGAAATGATATGTTTACACCCCTAACCGACACACTTGGTTGTACACATCCGGTTCAATGGATAAAATATGATTTAATAGGGTTTGTTAAGTGTTAAAGACTTATCACTCACTTATTTGAGGCTATCGTTTGACATCCATTTCCTCCTTTAAAATTCTTTGTTGATGGTTACTATTTGAAACCTAATCAATCCCTCCAAATTCTATAAATTCCAACACTCACTTATCCCAATTTGGTGAAATCTTGTGTAATATTCCAAAATTTTCTAAGACTTTAAAATTTAAGTTAGGGACTTATGTGGTAGAAATTATTTTTGTTGGATTTAATAGCTAAAATTCACAAAGCTAAGGGAGTTAAAAGTAAAAATTTGAAGATAAAAAGGGCTGAGTTGATTTCCTCTTTCTCTCCTTGCCATGTTATCGTGGTTTCCCCTCAGCCTTCAGCAGAAATTTTGCTCAACAAGCCCTAACCCACGCCATCTTCATCTCACTAGAATAAGATGAGATTTAGCATTTTTCTTCCTTCTCCTAGCAAGGGTTAGAGATTTATGAGCTTATGATTCTTAAAATCATGATAAAAACCTAGATCTTACTATTGGTATCTTTCCATTTTCTGGTCCATGTCAGGTGTGAAGAGAGGCTACCATTTTTCCAGCACTTCTAGTAAGAAATTTGACATATTGCTCACCTTTTCATCTTTAATTTAAAGTGGGTTATCTTTAATCATTTAGGGTTTTCAATTTTGGGAATATTTCTATAGTTTTCCCTTTGAGTGCCCATAATCTAACATCATTAGCTCTTATCCCTCTTTTTGTTGCAAATTCGGATTGCATGACCCTTTTGTAGTAATTTGCCCATAAGTCTTTTTGTAGTTATCAGATTAAGGGCTTGTTTGGTGGAGCTTCTTGGAGCTTTTACTTTTTTAATACTATTTATGAGTCATAAGTTTAAAATTTTTATTAGAGGGAAAATTTAAAAGTTGCTTTTAGAAATAATAAGAAGTGAGTAAGAAGTGAGTAAAAAGGAAGTTTATAAAAAGCAAAAGTTTGAAGCTTTTCAAAATTCACTGTTTAAGGTCCTTTTAAGATTAAAAAGAAGTTAAAAATGTAAGTTTTTAAGAGGGAAATT